ATCATCCCACTTGCATGTTTATTAGTGTCTTCATTCGAATTGAGATGATTATCCTTCATTTTCCATTGATTATAAACATGTCATATTGAAAGTTTGCGACTACTCCACTTAATCACTAACTTGCACTTGATTGCATGACATTTGAATGAATACTTTACCCTTAAATTAAAGTGACAACTCCTTAGCATTCTATTGGAGCTTTGATGTCATCATTCAAATCAAGTTCTACTTGATTTTGAATCAAATGAGACTCAAGATACTAGTTCAAGTTTGAGTCAAGTTCATTGTCCAACTCATTCGAGTTCAAATAGGTCTCCTTCTTTTGTTCAAATCCTTGTTGTATTTGAATCCATTTCATGTTCAAATTCATCATATGCTTAATATCATTTTATTAGAGTCCATTTGAGTCCAAGATGAGCTCTTTGCATTTGAGATCAACTCGTTTGGACTTAGCTTGAATTCTCAATTTAGTTTAAGTTCAAGTTAATGTCATTTAGTCTAAATCAAGTCCACAAGTCCGTCATCGCTTGTCCAAGTCTTTGTTCAAGTTTTCGTAGTCTTGTTGAGTTCAAGTGCATGTTCAAAATGAGTTCAAGTCCACTACAGTCCCTTGAGTTCAGTCATGTTCTAGTTCATTTCAATTAGAATTGAATTCGTTTTAGTTCAAGTTCAATTAAGTAGATTGAATGAAGTCCACAAGTCCCAAATGGTTTCAAGTCCTTGCCTTATTTCAGACAAAAATTCGGCAGCCTCCCGGCGTCTCCCCCGTTTAGGGAAAAAACCAAGAGGCCGCCTACCCGCCACGTCACTAAAGACGTGCACGGTTGGTGTTGGTGAGACACCGCAGCGGTTGTATTTTGTTTTTCTCCCACCACGCGCAATAAAGGCGTGCATGGGGTTTTTTTTTTAAAAACTTATTTTTGAAAAAGCAGTTTGATTTCCCCCCGCTCGGGGGTACTTATGAGCGACCCCGCTTCGTCGTACGTGCTGCACCGGGGTCCCATCCCACCACGCACACTAAAGGCGTGCTTGGGGCGGTTCTCCAGTTTGCCACGAACATTGAAGTAGGGTTTTAAGTTTAGAAAGATTCATACATCCGCGGGGTTGTCGTGGTTGACACGTGGATCGAGGCGTCACTCGCCTACCTCGCCGTAGGTGTCGCACCGGGTTCCCTCCTTCCACGCTCACTAAAGGCGTGCTTAGGTGGTTTGCCGGTCCGACACAAACGCCGAGGAAGGAGAGGGAAGGGGAGTAAGGAATTTCGTACCTTTGCGGAAGAGGGCTCGTGGATCGAGGCGAGCATAATTAATTAGATTTAATAATAATTAGTTATAATTAACCTGAATTAATTATAACAAATTAAGATTAATTAATTATAATTGAAGGCAATTGATTTATAATTATCTGATTTTAGGAGATTTGGTGGTCGGTGTGGCATGACCACCATTGATGCACTGTTGGTCATGGTTGCTACGGTTGTTATTGTCTATGTTAGATGACCAAAACCTCCAGCACGTGTAATCAAAAGACCGAAAGGGTAGCCCTTATCCTTTGATGCAGATTTTATTGTTCTCATGTTCTGCATGGTGCATAATTGCCTTTATGTATCCTCTTACCTTTTATTTTTCCTTTTTGTTGTTTGAAGCTAGCGAGGAAACCTCTAGTCATGTAGCAACATATCAGAGCCTCAAACTTATCAGGGTAGAGCTAGTAATGGCAGAAAATAACCATAATGTCTGTAGAGAATGCATGCTCAAAATGGGAAAGAAATTCTTTTGGACCAAATGCCTCTTTATCTGATTAATTGTGGCGTTTATTTCTTGTTTGGGTTAATGTAGCAACATTTGATATTGTTGATAAGCTCGTTTTTTTCTTCAGGTAATAGGTCGCACTTGGTGGTCATGTTTTCTGTAGAAGTGAATGATGGACTCTTATCAACTACTCTTCCAGTTCATTTAATCAAGACAGCGGAAGTGAAGATCAAAAGCAGCAACCAGTGGCAACCCTTGCAGACGTTTGTAACCATTGCAAACCAGTTTGTTATGAGAGGAAAAGGAATTCGGTTTCAAGGGACAATTGGGGATTGTAATAATGCAATGCAACGATTATTTTTTCAGGTACTAATTTGTAAACTTATATGATAGAATAAATGATAAAAATGATTAATACATTTTTTATCTAATTCTATTTCATTCATTTTTTTCCCAAATATTCAATTTCGTCACTGAACAACCAATCTGAATCAATTATTTCAGGTCAACATACACCAAAAAAAAGAAACCTCTTTTCTCTCATTATATGTTTATATAGAGACAGTAAAAGCGAGGGAACAGGATAGAGAAAGAATTAGATCGAAAAATTTCCTCTTTAGAGATAGAAAGGGAGGAAGGGAGATAGAGAGAAAGGGAAGAGAAGTTAGCGAGAGAGAGAGTGAAAAAGAGAGGAAGAGAGATGGAGAGTTTTTTCTCTCTCTACTGGGAGTTGGTGACAACAAGATTGTCAGGCGAGGAGTAGGCCAACGATTGGGTTTGTTGGAGAAGTAGAGAGGGAGAATGTGGTCGGTTGTGGCTTTGACGTGTGAATATTGAGAGTTATGTGAGAGAAGAGGTGCAATGGTGAGTCAAGGAGGTGTAGGAAGAGGATCTAAGAGGTGGTTGAGAGAGAGAGAGGGAGGCGGGGATCACATGCGACTAGAAGAGAAAAACGAGAGAGAAGCAGGTTGAGGGTTGGCTGAGCATGAAAGGAAAAGAGGGGGAGTGACATCTGCTTGTGAGAGAGGAAATGAGTTCGATAAGATTTTTGTTTGAAGGGGTTGGATGCTAGTATGCACAGTGCGTTCGACGCAATACTTGAAGTTGGATATTCGGGATTTGGGATAAAGTGGATTTGAACTATTTTTATTAGGGATTTTTACATACCTAACACTTAAAATTATTCTATTTACTTATTTAACACCCAAACTTTACTATTTACTATTCTACCATCTAAAAACTCTTGCTCACATCAAAAATATCACTATGTAACCTTCCGTCAAATAACTCACCCCGACGAGCGTCACTTCTGCATCCTCCGCGGCGTTGCCTCCGCGCTGCTCTACCTACATGAAGAGTGGGAACACGTCGTCATCCATCGCGACGTGAAAGCAAGCAATGTGCTTCTCGACGGAAACCTGGACGGTCGGCTCGATGACTTCGGGCTGGCGAAGCTCCAAGAGCACGGAGCCAGCTACGGTCTTGGCATGATCTATTTCTACTGTTTGCAAAACAGGGGACTCGGAGCATCTCTAATGGCAAAAGCTGCCATGGCATCTCATCCTGAAGCTCTCCACTCCCTCTCCAGCATAACGGAACTGAACCTGCGCGGAAGATCTATTCGCTGTCAAATCCTCCCACATCTCTCGATCCCCTCTCCTTCAAAAAGAACAGAGCATCCTTTCCTCACTTTCCTCCCCTCACATCATAAAATGTCTCGGATCCACTGTTTCCGGCGAATTTTACCACCTCTTTCTCGAGCTCGCCGGCGGCGGTGCCTTGTCCGACCATGCCGGACATCTCGAAGAGCCCAAAATCCGATCTTTTACACTTCAGATCCTTCTCGCACTCCGATACCTCCATTCCAACGGCATTGTCCATTGCGACGTGAAGGGAAGAAATGTTCTCGTTGGTTCTGATGGGAAGATCAAGCTTGCGGATTTTGGCTGTGCTCGCTGTATTGGAGAGGGATTGGCGATGGGATCGCCGGCGTTCATGGCGCCGGAGGAGGTGAGAGGGGAGGAACACGAGATCGCCGGAGATGTTTGGTCGCTGGGATGTACGGTGGTGGAAAAGATTGTCACCTTGCCGGCGGAGAGAGGCGATACCCGGCGAATGAGGTCGGAGAGGGAGGAGTTGCGACGTCTGCTGTGACGGGAGCGAACGGAACGAACGGAGTGGTTTTTTTGATTAGGTTAAAGGTTTTGGGGTGGTATATTAGTAAATAGGTAACTTTAGGTGTTTAATAGGTAAATATGATAGTTTTAGTGTTATACATGTAAAACCCCCTTTTTATTATTGATTTCTTAAATAAATTTAAAATATGTGTTTGTGTTTCCCACGACTCCTCATTTCTTACATGTCTCAAAATCTGTGCATCTCGAAATACATGTCGTCGCCTCACGCATAAGCAATTTTGGTTTTTACCTTTTTGTGCGGTAACCAATGCAATGTGTTTGTTCTTTTCTAGTTTTGATGTTCAAGACATGTCGACGCTTTCCATTAATTAAACAGATGATATTTGAATGACTTCTATTATGTCGCATCTGTAGTTAATCATTTTTTCATCATGTGGCATCATAGTGACGTTTGTGCATGTCTTCGATTGTAGTCTAGGGGTTTGAAACCTGTTCGTATGATTTTATATTTTATGGCAGTTATTAATGCTTAGTTTCGACCAATTTTAGTTTGTATTGCCTTTTGATACATCAACAATACATCAACAAATTGAAAGTGCATTGATGACTGGATCCAATGTTTAAAATTGCGTATTCAGGTATTGAGGCGTTTTTCATTCGTGAGGCGAGGCGTAAGCCTCAAGGAGTTTTGAGGCGTAAGCCTCAAAATCAAAAGATTGCGTAAACATAAAATGATAAAATTTTTATATACTAATGAGTGAATAATATAAAACATTAAAAAATATAAGATATGATGTGAAATCAAAATATCCCAATAATAAGACAACATAAAATATAGATCAACTCAAAATTCTATCTTTCTCAAATCCCAATATTCTTTTCATTAACATATAATTCAAATTTCCAAGAACAAATAGCAATGACATATCACATAATAACTCATAAGTCATCAACACTGTCATCACTAAGGGGTTCTTCATTTGAATCATCATTATGATGAACTGCACTCTCCCCTTCCTCCTCTTCTATTGAGGCGCAAGCCTCATAAAAAAACTCGAGGTGTAAGCATCGAGGCGTTTTTTACTGGAATTGCACAAAGACGGGCCTCAAGGCGAGCCTCATATTGCGCAATTTTAAACCATGACTGGATCTACTATGATGCCTTTTTTATTGATTTACATATTCGTCATTTTTTATTGCAGTAGCATCTCATTGAGCTCCATAACTTTTTTTCTTGTTTATAATATAAAAAGGTTAATAATTTTCTAAATTTCTTTGACTATTTCTAATTATTGTATTTATAGTTGTTTTTAATCACCTTTTTCTTTTTTTTTTCTCCCTAATTCCTCTTTCCTCAATTTCTTTTACGTATCCTATTGTAATTTTTAGTTTTGCTTCGAGACAATAAGGGCAAGAGTTCTATTCATAATAAATTACATAATATATTAAGAAGATGCCACATTTTTTGATAACGAGAGAAACAGTTCCTAAACTGCACACCTCGAGTCATCTGTTACTGACTAATTTAGTACTTTTTTTCTTTTGGTATATATCAGTTATTTTCTATTCATTTTGCTCAGAAATGTCTTCCCATCAATTTGTCAGGTTTGCATGATTTTGCTTAAAATATCTACTTTGTTTATAAAATATTATATTTTTGGTTGGTGGGGAGGAGTTTGGGGTTTTAAGGCTTCGTTTGGGACAGCTTTCTTTCTGCTTCTTAAAACAGCTTCTTATTAAAAAAATAAAAAAATTTAATTTTTGTACTTCGAAGCTGCTTTAAGAAGCAATAAGAAAGCTGTCCCAAACGAAACTTTAGTCTCTACATAAGCTCTTTGTTACCATAGTGCTTTTTCAGTCTTCTTTGACTACCTTAGCAGGAACGACGTTCATTTAGGAAAATCAGGTATTAATATCATCTATTAGTAAGCTTTTCGTTTCTGTTTGTAGGGTGCAAATCTTGATGCTCTGTTGACCATCACTGTTAATGATTTGGGAAATTATGGCTGCTACTTAGATTGTACAGATATCATGTCATTTCCACTCTCGGTCGAGGCTACTGTGATTTTAATCAAAAGAAGGCCATTGAATTCAACGACAGCTTTTTGTGAGTTGCATTACTAATTTAATATTTATTCATTTGTTCTGTCATTCTTCGTGGTCCAGTAAATTAATTAATGACGTGATTTATTACAAAATGGTCGTCTTTTGTCTAATTTCATTTATTGAATGTTGCTATATGGATGTTTTGCAGTGCTTGGATCAGCAATATTTTTTGAGATTGCAACGTTATTTCTGCTGGGTGGTTTACTTCTATTCTTTATCTGTAAATGCATGATCGCACTTCATATAGAAAGAAAGAACGATGATAATAGCCAAAGTCTCCACAAAGAAGAACTTATAAAAAATCATAATGAGAAGGTACATGTGTGTTTTTTTTTTCATGGTTAGTAATATTTTTCTGAAACATCTACATTTTTTAGTTGTTTAGATTAATTAAGAACTTGATGTCACGTTTCTGCTACTCAGAATTTTATTTAACAGCAGTTCCTGCTGCTTGAACCTGCAAATCCATGGCCAACCCTGCACACTTAACCATTTTTACATTCCATATCTGCCTTCACTCAAACAAACCACCTGTTTCTAGTATCTTATGATGGCATGTGAGGAGCTCTGATTGTGTCAGTCTTTTAGGCGTTGCTTATGTCATAACCTAACCCAACACAACCTGTTACACCTGAAAAGGTTATACCGTGTCAAAACTATGACATCTGACTTGTTACTTCCCATGACCTAATTGAAAGAATTTTTCTTGCTTTATACTCTATAATTTTCTCAAGATACACAACATAGAGCCATGCTAAATCATTCAATATAAGCGTAAACAAAACACCGATTTCATTTTAGTTCATTAATTGTACTTTCAAAAGACTCATGTGCATTAATCATGATTCAATTTTCTTTTCATCAAAACATAAATATGCACATGACTAATAAAAGAATACAAATAATAAATGTATATAGATCTGGGTCTCAACTTGTTTAATTGTCTCTATCATCTCAATCTATTCAACAGAGGCTTTATTTTTCCCTGAAAATATTTATAAACACATAGGGTGAGCAACAACTTGCTCAATATGTCATCCAGAACATACTACTGCAGATTTCAATATATTTATATAAGAAGCATCTTCTATATAAACCTATAATACATTAATCATAAATCATATTTAAAAGTGGATCACCCTAATATGGGTGTTGAACAATGTACTTAACAATTTTGTATATGTATTAGAGCCATTTTCAACATATATAGATTAAATAACCTAAAAATATTCACAGAGACTTAAAAAATATATATAGTGAGTTTGTAAATCTATTGGAGGCCTATTCAGGTCATCAGCCTATCCAACAGATATTCTATGTTCAAATAGATGCATATTCATATGCTGAAGAGATAATAAAAGACTGCGGTGGATGATCAGTTAGCTATAAAAACCAAAATATAATCGAATCATATTGCATTGATTTTGTCAAAATCTTATGAAAGCTGTTATGCTTGGTGTTTTTTCTTTGAATAAATAATTATATTTTTTAAGTGCCTTTCAACCTTGATCCAGATTATCTCAATTTTTGCTCTGAACTTACAGATCCGTCGAAGGATTAGACCGCAAGAATCAGAATTGCCACAGTCATTTGCTTCATTTGGTAACAATCTTCAGCTTAATTCTCCACATATAGAAATGCAGAAGCAGCCTCACAGCGATTGAAGCAGTTTTGCAGGTTTTCAGTATTTAGATTTGTTCCTTGTTTCGACTCTCTCTCTCTCTCTCTCTCTCTCCAGCATTCTCTGCAAGTTTGATCAGCTTTGAATAAACTTTCTTGAACGTTTAGTGGGCTGCACGATGGGTTGCTTTGGATGGGTTCATTGCAGTAAAATACGGTAATCGGATAGGGTTCCTTACAGTCATCATATAATGTAACAAATTAATTACGACTTCTGAACTGCTTTTATTGCTTTGACATGCAAAATATTTTACTGCACCTTTTTAAAAAAATGTTTTTTTTTCTTTTAAATAAACTTGTGGGTTTGAAAAGATTATTCGAATAATACCTTCAGAATCAAATATACCATCATTAAAAAATATATTAGATCTTTAAAATTGTTCTTATTTTCTGTAGATTTTAATTTTTATATAAGAAAAAAAATCTGTTAATTACTGGCCTTAATGTAAAGGTGCACTCTTTTAAAATTTCTACGTACCAGTTTTCTTTACATTAAAATCCATAAAAGTTTTGATAAATGAAGTTTGTATGCAACAAGATTAATTAAAAATAGATCAAAAGCAACTTGTGAAAAAAAATAAATAAATAAATAGTTTTTTGATTAAAAATTGAAGAATTATTTGCATGCAACGTGTTAATTAGCAACTTCAGAAATTAGCAATTGGATACACATACTTGATCAATACAGATGTATTATCTTAATAAAGCAAATATAACAAATGCGAAGCTTATGCAAGAAAATTATTATTATTTTCAAAATGACTCATGCATTTACATATTTAATATCTAAATTTTAATAATTAGTTCTACTAAGGAGATATTTTTATACAATTGTTAAAGACTTATATTCAATAAATAAATATAATTTTAGATTTTCAATACATTAAAAAAAAACATGTTAGTTTTCATATAAATCCCCAAAAAATAAAGTAAGGCTAAAACAAGCTTCCAAAAAAATTGCCAATGTTGAAAGATCAAATGCAATTGAAACATCATAAAAACATTATATCACTTTAACAACTTCAGTGTCCTGTAAATCCTTAAGAAATTAACAACAGCTAAATTAAAAGCAAAATAATAATAATCATAATAACTTATTTAACTCACATAGAATACAATGGGATAACAAATAATATACAAGAAAAACAGTTTTTTCCTCAAATGAAACAAATAAAAAGGAACTTTTTAACTTAACCAATATGAAAAGAATTACATGGTAAGGCTATCAGGTAGAGAAGTGGGTGCACCCACAATCTTACCTCCAACATCAGGAAAAGTCTCCTGGTCTGGCATGGGACCGACCTTCCCATCAGCCTCCACCTTTACAGAGGAGACATCCTGTATCCATAAATCTGCAGTAGATACCATCCATCCAGCACTTCAATAAAGAATTTATATGAAGAAATGATATATATTCTCTTTTGAAGAAATTGATATAGTATCAATTTCTTCGAGCTATCACATATACTAATATATGCTACAACAAATTTTTACTCCACTCCGTGGGATCAATTAGATGAATCTTTTTTCTCTATTGTGTTATATTAAGAGTCAAATTCACATTGAAATCTAATAAAAAAAGTTATTTCTAATATTTTTCAAACCAAATCTTTGTAGGTCTCTCTCTACCTTTCATAATATAAGCCAAATATAATATATCTACTCTACTAACCAGGTTATTGGAAGGCTAATGTTTTATGTGTCCAAACCATCTAAGACGAATCCCTTTAATCTTATTTGTCGTTGAAGCGACTATAACTTTTTTATGCATATACTTGTTTTACATTTTGTCTCTAAAAGAGCATACACTTATCCACCCG